TTGCAGCCGTCATTGTTGTTTGGTGGGCCCGGGCTGGATTCAAACCCACCACCTTAGGTGTATGTGGCTGGTGCCTTAGCCACTTGAGCCACAGGAGCCGACCCAGGCCTGGCTATTTTTAAACACAGGGTCTCACTCTTCCTCAGGCTGATCTTGAACTCCTGAGCTCAAGTGATCCACCTGCCTTATACTCCTAGAATGTTGGAATTACAGGTGTGAGCTACCACGCCTGGCTGCTATTTTATTCTTAATCAAAATTGCCTTTCCCGAATTAAGTTTACCCATCAATATCTAGGAGTCTATAGAAATTCTAGAATTGAAATAACACAAAAAACAAAAATAAAAAGGTTTTGGTCTTTCCGTAGCTACAGTTTTGCATAATCTCTTACTAGGCATGTATGTGTGTGTGTGTGTGTTTCTGTCTTAAGTGGTAGGTGCTCCCTAAAGAAACTTAGTGTGTTTAAAATGATTATAAGTGTAACTACCAAATACACAGTTATAATAGCTCTTAGTTGTTTATAAATTAGAGTTATTACTATCAATGTTATATATCTTCCTTTTATTCAACATTCACTCAGTAAAGTATTCAGGTTTTGGGATTTGTATTTGAGAATATGAACCACATCCTTCTACTTTACAAAGCAGAGGTGTAATTCTATTTTTATTTGGAGATTAAAAAAAAGAGAGAGAGAGAAATAAGTCATCTAATACTTCCTAGGAAGCTCTGGGAATAGTAGGACAACAGGCCAGAAATTGTCTCCTGAGAATCTGAAATTTGAACCACAAGCCCAGATCTGCTGACATTTGTTGTAACTTAGAAATAATGTACTGTTCAGTTGTGGGCAGAATGGAACAGAAGGCACTGGATCTCAAGATAGGAAAGTCATTCTTTAACTATTTTTAAATATTTTTTAGTGGGATATCTGCATTTTACTGACCTGAAGACTGCAGGTACTCAGGGAGAAAGATGTAACATGGGAAAGTTAAGGTTACCCATGGTACCTTAAACTAATCTGAGGAAGAAGGTAGGAGACAGATGCGAGGCATATGCACCTTTTTAATGTGTGTATATATGTCTGTATATATATATATGATTAAATATATGTTAAATGTAAACATATTTAAATAAATAAAATATATCATGTGTACCAAAGCATATATTAAATAGATAATCTAAGTGAAGGGGATAATCAGTGGTCTTAAAAAACATTTCCTGTTTCTTTATTTTTCAATCTTTAACTGGTATCAGTAGGGAAGAGTATTAAATCAAAGGGGTTAAACATGAATGAGAATTAAGAAACCTTTCCGGCCCAAAGAACATAACATTGAGGAAGCAATATGGATTAGACCGTAGAAGTGACTGAGAGAAAAATACCGGAGTAGTGTAGATTAAATGTCGTTATTCTGCAAGTGTTGTAATAGTTCTGGAGAATTTGATCACGATCCTGGTTTGTTTTAGGAAATGGTTCTCAGGTTTGTCCTTTGCGGTGTGCGTTGGGGATGGTCTTGTTTTGGCACAGCAAGTGGCTCACAGACCCCTCGAATAGATTGGGGGCTTCCAAACTTGTCTGAGTTTAATGCATTTTCCCGGTGGTTGCAGAGTGCTTTATAACTCTTTCCTTTTTCTTTTCCCTTTCTTTTTTTTTTAATGGGTGAAAAATGACTTCTTGGGCTGAGGTAGGTCATGGAAAATTGAAAGCCAAAGCGCTAAGATATATAAATTTTCCATCACTTGGTTTAGAGGAAAATCTCTTCGATTTGACCAGGGGATATCAGTTTTCACATTAGTTTACTAAATTTTTTGTAAGTGCCTTCTTCAGATTGAGAGATTTCTTTGACAAGCTATATAAACCACAAAAGTTTTCTATTCTGAGGAATGAGCTGGCCTGCCGTGGTGGAAGGGATGATGAAGCTCTTGGCCCGCAGAGCGTGTGGTCTGTTTTTACCATTTCTAGTTTCAGCAGGCTGCACTGTAAGTGTGGCTCACCGTGCAGTTGGCTGCTGCTCATGGAGTCTGGCACAGATCTCACAATCTCTTTTCAAAGCAGAGACACTTGACTTTGTGCTAGAAATGTCTGTTTAGCTATTTCAACTTTCATTTTCTTCCCTTTAATCCTTAATTTAATTTTTTTAAGGTCTACGTACAGACCTGGAGCACCCAGAATCTTTCTATGACCATCGCTCGGGATGAGTATCCGGCCCACCCGATGGTGCTGCGAGGAATTAACCAGAAAGCTGCCTTTCCTCAGTACCAGCCTGTGATCATGCTGGAGAAGGGCTACACCATCCACTGGAATGGGCCGGCGCCACGGACTACTTTTCTATACCTCGTAAACTTCAACAAGTAGGTTTCTATGACTGTTATTTCAAACAGCCCGGCAAGTAATAATTTAGTGGAGAAAGAGAATCACTATGTTTCCTTTGGAGCAATAAAGAATGCCAGTTTCATGTACTTTGCTGCTCTTGTGGGCAGGCAGTATATTTTGAGTGGATGGAATTGAGAGATTATACAAATGGAATCTTGTCATTTCAAAAGCATTCCTTTTTCTCTGTGGTCAACTGTACAGAAAGCCATTCAGCAATAGGTTTTAACACAGCCTGATGAACGCTTTACTCCCCTATAGCTGGGGTGGAAAGTAGTTTTATATCGTGTTTGAACTGAGCACTTGGTTGCCTAGAAAATTTAAAAAAAAATTTTTTTTTTGAGACAGAGTCTCACTTTGTTGCCCTCAGTAGAGTGCTGTGGTGTCACAGCTCACAGCAACCTCCAACTCCTGAGCTTAGGCAATTCTCTTGCCTCAGCTTCCCGAGTAGCTGGGACTATAGGCGTCCACCACAAGGCCCAGCTATTTTTTGTTGCAGTTTGGCCAGGGCCGAGTTTGAATCCTCCACCTTTGGTATATGGGGCTGATGCCCTACCCACTGAGCCACAGATGCCGCCTGGAAAATTAAAAAGTTTTTAAGGCTGAGTTAGACTTGACAGAAGAAAGTGATGGTGCAATTGATTAGTAATATCTGCTATGGGCAAGAGGTGGAAAAGTCAAGGCATGAAAGGCAGGCATGTGTCACCCCTGCCTGGAAGTGTTGCTCTGTCTCTTCTTGATTTCTTTTTTTGTTTGTTTTAAGACAGAGTCTCACTATGTCGCCCTGGGTAGGATGCCATGGCATCACAGCTAACAGCAACCTCAAACTCTTGGGCGTAAGCGATACTCTTGCCTCAGCCTCCCAAGTAGCTGGGACTATAGGCGCCCACCACAACGCCCTGCTATTTTTTGGTTGGAGTTGTCATTGTTGTTTGGCTGGCCCAGGCCGGGTTCAAACCCGCCAGCTCCAGTGTATGTGGCTGGTGCCCTAGCCACTGAGGTACAGGCGCCAGGCCTGTCTCTTCTTGATTTCTCTCTGTCCTAATAATATCATTTTCATTCCAAGCCTCTCTTTTTTGCATTAATTTTTTCAAGTGTTCACCCCGTCAGATGGTCAGATGGTATAAAAGATGAATGAGAAAAATACTTCCCTCTGGGGTCTCACATGAGACAGGGAGGAAAGAAACCTCAAGTAAATACATAAACCCAAACAGTTTTTTAGGAACAAAGGATGCTAAACAGCCACTAATTCTGTTTGAGGGAGTTGGGCCAGGCTGCGGAGAGAAAGTGATGTTGATGAAGTGATCAGTCTCTGGTTCTTGGGGAATGCTGGATTCAGTGTGATGGGACATCAGGGAAGGGACAGAAGGTGAAACTAGAAAGGAGGACGGGACTCCATGAAACTGTTGAAATATATGCCTGGAAAATTGAAGTGGCTTGATTACCTGACTGGTCATAAAGCTGTGACTTGTCAGAACTCTCTTCAAACACCCAGTAGAAATGAACAGAGAAGGACTAGGACAGTAGGAATTCAGCACCTCACTTGCGAGGGTGGATGAACATCATGGCAGCTGCCCTTGTTCTGGGGTAGTTCGGTTCTGGCACATGCTCTGAGCTGAACCATGGCTGTTTTCCTCTGCCACTTGCTGCTGTTCTCTGTATCCCCCCTTCATAGTTGACCAAGTCAAAAAGCCAGTGCTCATTCCTAACTCTTCATTTTCCCATCTCTCCATCTTACATTGGAAACTGAACCCTGCTGGCTCTGCTCCTTCACCTAGTGTTTTTTTTGTTTTGTTTTGGTTTGTTTGCAGTTTTTGGCCAGGGCTGGGCTTGAACCCACCACCTCCGGCATATGGGACGAGCGCCCTACCCTTTTGAGCCACAGGCGCTGCCCGGCTCTGCTCCTTAATGCTGTTCAATCTCCCCTCCTCTTTCCACCCCACAGTTTATGACTGTGTTCAGGCCCTATCTGCTCTCCCCACATTGCCCACATCGTGTCCAGGGTGAAGATTCTGGAAGCCCAATCTGGTAGTATCAGTGAGTCACAGAAAAGTGAATTAAATAGGCAAACCATTCTGCCTCTTTGAGAGTGATCCATACCCAGAAGTTAGGTTGGGCAAGATTGTGAATGGGAGATGAAATATTACAAGGAAATGATATGCTGAGTTCTGTAAAGTGCCGAGCATAACCTTTCATCAAGTACTGAGCAAGTAAAACCATTTGAAAATGGAAAAGGCTGAGCCTAGAAATTTTAAACATCTACATGGGCTTGAAGTTAAGTCATACTTATGTAATTATCTAAAAGTTTATAAAAATTACATAATAGGTAGAGGCAAGAGGAAGAGGCAGACAATTTTTTCCCCAAATTTAATATAATTATGAGGAGGTCATAGATTTTCTTGTAGTGCCCTGTCTGAAAATAACATTTTATTTTATTTATTTGTTTGAGACAGAGTCTCAACCTGTTACCCTGGGTAGAGTACTGGTGGCATCACAGCTCACAGCAACCTCAAACTCTTGGGCTTAAGCCAGAGATTCTCAACCTGTGGGTCATGACCCACAGGAACTATGGTAAAGGCTTGCAGCATTAGTAAGGTTGAGAACCACTGGCTTAGGTGATTCTTTTGCCTCAGCCTCTAAAGTAGCTGGGACTACAGGCACCCACCACAACACTCGGCTATTTTGTTGTTGTTGTTGTTGTTACAATTGTCATTGTTGTTTTAGTGTATGCGGCAGTGCCCTACCCTGCTGAGCTTCGGGTGCTGCCCTGAAAATAACATTTTAAAAGTTCTGAAAACCATAGTTATTCATTAACAAAATAAGTAAAATACAGAAAAACGTAAGGAAAATTGAAATAATCAGTAATCTAAATCAAAGTGAGACATTATAGACATTATAGTATCCTCCATTCTTTCCTCTCAATTTTTTCTTATTATATGATTGTACCATAATTTTTTAAATTACCCAATTTTCCCATGAACATTTAGGTTTTTTCCTCTGCCCTTCTTTTTTCTTTTTGGTTATTATAAATAATACTTTTTCTTTTCTTTTATATCCTTTTCTGAATTTCTAATTATTCTTTAGGGTAGGGGTCCTCAAACTTTTTAAACAGGGGGCCAGTTCACTGTCCCTCAGACCGTTGTTAGGGCTGGACTGTGGGCCCCTGCTGCTAAGCAGGACAGGCAGAGGCGGCAAAAACACCTGGCGGGCCGGATAAATGTCCTAGACGGGCTGCATGTGGCCCGAGGGCCGTAGTTTGAGGACACTTGCTTTAGTGGGATTACTGCGTAAAACTTGTATGAACAATTTTAAGACCTTATATATTGTTTAAAAATTCTTTAGAATGATAGGTTCTGGAGATGAATAGTGATGATAGTTGCACAGGCTTGAGAATGTACTTAGTGCCATTGAACTATTTAGGTAAAAATGGTTAACATGATAAATTTTATAATCTGTGTATTTTACCACAGTAAGAAATGACTAAAACAAAAGTAAATGATAGAGAGGGGAAAGTATTTTAAATAGTATTTAAAAAGGATTTCTTTTATATTTAAGGACATTGAGAAAAAATATTCTGGCAATGTGAAGATATTCGTCAAAAGCTTTAAAAAGTTATATAACTTTATATCCAGCAATTTTGCTTCTAGGGATTTATCCTGATATAGTTACAAAAGGTAAAAGTATATTTATGAACAAAAAAGTTCTTTAGAATAATTTCTTTGGAAGTCTATCAGTGTATTCTTTCACTCTTAGGCTATTAACATTTCTTTTTTTTGGCCAGGGTTGGGTTTGAACCCACCACCTCCGAGGGCTTATGGGGCCGGTGCCCTACCCTTTTGAGCCCCAGGCGCCGCCCCAGGCTGTTAATATTTCTACACCCAATCATCTCACTTAAGTATTATCTGCTTGGAGTTGTCTAAGCACATTTTATCCTACTTTTATTCACATTCCTGAAACTCTGTTAAAATCAAGAATTTTTTTTATGGGCCACAGGCCCCAATCTTATTGCCAATACATTGATGTGAAATACTTGATGTGAGAACTGCTTACACTAGAAATGGTAAACGTCACAGATAAAAGTGGATGATTCCTGATTATGCCAGGGTTCGGGACTTCCATTGCTAGTGGCCCAACACACAGCAGAAATGTAATGAGGAAAAAAATACCATGGCTAACCTTTCCATATGCTGTGATCCTCAAAAGATAGTGGCTCACTTGTGAATTAATTTTTCTGTTGTCCCTTCTTTAAAGGAATGACTGGATTCGGGTTGGCCTCTGCTATCCGTCAAACACAAGTTTTCAGGTTACCTTTGGCCTTTTGCAGCGGCAGAATGGTTCATTGTCCAAAATAGAAGAATATGAGCCTGTGCAGTCCCTGGAAGAACTGCAGCGGAAGCAGTCTGAACGGAAATTCTATTTTGACTCCAGCACAGGGTAATTCAGTGGGACCAGGGAAGGAAAATTATTGCTCATTTTCTTTAATGGTAAAATTTCTGGTTCTTCAGTCTGCAGAGTGGCTGTTGAGGAAAACAGCTGACGTGGGTAATTCCCAGCACATGGCTGTTAGCGGTGGAGAGGAAAACTGGAGTGACTTGTGATTATAGTTGGCAGTGGGAAGCAGATGAAGATGCTTGCTGGCTATCTATTAAACCAATTTAGAGCAATTGTCCTTGGCAATGAAGAACCACTAGGTCTGATTAAAAATTAAAATAATTTTTTCTATGACAACTCTTTAGATGATTGTTTACATGTGACAGAGCTTATATTTTCGTGAAAAGCTCTTTTTTTTTTTTTTACTGCCTACTGACTTAAAGCTATCTTTCAAGTTGAACTTGAGTTTTTAAAAAACTCATTGGGTAACTGTGCCACATTTGCTGTCAGTGTTCTCTAGGTTGCCTCTTTGCACTTTTGAACTCTGTTCCTGTCTTTGGTGTTCTGTTGGCTTTGTCTGCTTTTATCCAGTTCCATCTGTCAGCCTGTGGGCTCTGGTAGGCTTCCTCTTCCAGCCAGTCGCACACTCCTTTAGTCTCCCTCCTAGCTCTGACACTCCTGCTACACACCATTGTCTAGGTACTGGAAAGAAACCTATGTCAAGAGGACATATTTCTTGTGCAAATTCTTAGTCCATGGAAGGATGTGGACACGTAAAGCAAGTAATTACAAAGTAAAAGGTTTAAATGCTTTAAGTCCTAGCGTGGGATATCCAAGGTGCCTCTTGGGTTAGCTCAGAAGTTCAGCAGATAATAATCAGCGACATCCTGAAACGGTGACCCTGGAGCTAACTCCTGGCACATTTGGGGAAAGGCAGAAAGTTCATAGTAGGAAGGAGGGCTTTGATTGCTTGGGGAGATGAAGTCCGAACTTATTAAGTACCTGGTTATACTCTGACTGAGTTGTAACTCATTTGCTCTTCAAGACCCCCAGCAGCCAGTGTGATCCGCTTAAAAGTTTTCTTTTTGTAATTGTCTATGATTTTCAATTTCTAATTAGACTTAACCTACCTGAACTTTTATTATGTAGATATCAGAACTTGCACATTCCCAAGTTGACTTTCTACAAAAATACAGAGAACACTCAAATTTCCAAGGATAGTCCAGTGGTGACAAATTAATGATTAAATGTATAGAAAAGATTGGGAATATTTTTTCCGGTTTGGCCATTTCCAGAATCCCTCAGCCTCTGAGGTTCTAATTCTTTTTAATTCTATTCATTGTGATGGTTTTAATTATATATCAGAAGGCCCATGCCTAATCAAGTCCCCATGATTTCTTACGTATATATTTTTAAATTGCTAGCCTTTGGGACAGTGGCTGATTTTTACTTCATAATTGCAATTTATGCCTTGTTCACTGACCTCATCTTCAAATGTGAATTCTTCATCTCTGGTAATCAGTCATTTTGATCAAGTCTTTTAGAATCTTGACTTCCTTTAGTTTAGAAGGACTGTTTTCTGGCAGGCATTGAAGTTCTGCCTCCATTTTAGACTTTTCAGCTTGGCAATGGGAGGATCATTCAGAAATGGGTAGAACTGTTCATTTTGCCTGATTTGGGTCCAAATATTGACAGAAGGACCCCAGGCCCATCTGCTCTTGGTAAACAACACAGGCATTGATTGAGACTCTAGCCTAGCCTTAGCCAAATAAGTCGGAGCTGCTATTTTTATTATTCTAGTTTTGTGCTTTAAATCAACATAATTTATGAACAACAAAACATGAACCACATCAATTTACTGAATCCTAAGCTCAACACCAGTATAAAATTTTCCAAGGAATTTTTGAGCCAAACCAAATTCCATCCTTCCAAAATACCTATCGAACTAATTCAAAGCAGAAATCAAATTTGATGTCTTTCAGAACAACCCTTTTGAATCAGGGTATCAAAATATTTTCTACAGTGGTATTGCATTTTACTTAGGACCTTAGGAGAACAGGAAGGAAACAGAAACGACTTTGTTAATTTCTTTTCTTTTTCAAACTTTTTTTTGGACTTTAATAGTTTCATAATTTGTTTTTCTTTTAAGGAAAATTTACTTTGTTAGAGGAATGTCCCTTTTGGCCATGTGTTGATTTGAGGAATCTTGCAAGTTTTTGAGAGTCAGGCTAACGGGATGGATTGGTTTCTGTTTTGTGCAGGTTATTGTTTTTGTATCTCAAAGCCAAAAGCCACAGAGACGGCCATAGTTACTGTTCATCTCAGGGATGTGAAAGAGTCAAAATCCAGGCAGCAACAGACTCAAAAGACGTCAGTAACTGCATGGCCAAAGCGTACCCACAGTACTACAGAAAGCCATCAGCGGTCAGGCGGATGCCGTCCATGCTCACCGGCCTCTGTCAAGGCTGTGGGACCCAGCAGGTAAACACAGAAGAAAAGTGGACTGTAGTTACTTTGCAAAGGGAATATTTTTCTTTGATACATCTGTGTTGACAATTTTTAGAAACACTCCATTGTGTCTGCTGAATGTTGACCCATGCTAGAGTATAATGCCCACAGGAAGCAAACTAGCCCTAATTTATAACAAAAATCTTTCCCTCTTGATAAATCAGTTTACCCTGGGTGGCTTGGAAATTCAAGAGGAATTTTTATTTTGAATGTTAAAAGCAAACACCATGTATATTAAGAACCAGTAAAAAAACTCACATGAATTTTTGACCCCAAACTAGAGACCTCGAAGAAATATAGAGCTTTTTTTTTTGCAGTTTTTGGCTGGGGCCGGGTTTGAACCCGCCACCTCCGGTACATGAGGCCAGCGCCCCACTCCTTTGAGCCACAGGCACCACCAATATACAGCTTTTTAATACTGCCTAAAATCATTAAGATTATTTGTTCCTGCAGTGAAGTGATTAACCATTGAGTTATAAGGACAGTATATTTTTACTTTTTTCTTTAATTTTTAAATTGTTTTTGAAACAGAGTCTTACTATGTCACCCTCGGTAGAGGGCTGTGATGTCACAGCTCATAGCTACCTCAAACTCTTCACAACACCCGGCTGTTTTTTTGTTGTAGTTGTAATTGTTGTTTAGCTGACCTGGGCGGGGTTGGAACCCACCTACCTCAGTGTATGTGGCTGGCGCTGTAACCACTGAACTATGGGTGCCAAGCCAGGAGAGTGTACTTTTAAGTACTAAATTGTGTGAGAGTTAAACATGTTTGAATAAGAAGAAAGCCTAGGGGAGATGGAAGGAGGTGCGTTTTGGAGACTGGAAGTAATTTGATGGAGTACAGGGAAAAGGGAGGGACATTCTCAGTGAAGGAATAGCCTCAGTAAGGGCAGAACGGCAGGAAAGAAGGTGAAGTGCTTGTGAAAAAGTGAGGAAGTGGCCTTGTTCCGTGTGAGACATAGGGGCCTGCACAGAAGACTTGGCTCCATTTATGGAACACTTTGCAGGTCACATGACAGAGTTGAGACTTAGTCATGTAGAGGCTACTAAGAGTTTGTAGCCGGGGTAGTCCTTGTTACCAACACTGCTTTCCTAAGTTCTAGAGTGACTAAGCCCCAATTTGGGACCATTGGTCTGAAAGGCACTTAAGATTTGTGGCTTTTTGCATGAAATTTTTACAAAGATTTAAATATAAAGCACATTTATTTCCTTATTTATTTATTTTTGAGAGTCTCACTATATTGCCCTTGGTAGAGTGCTGTGGCATCACAGCTCACAGCAACCTCAAACTCTAGGGCTTAAGAGATTCTCTGGCCTCAGCCTCCCAGGTAGCTGGGACCATAGGCACCTGGCACAATGCCCGGCTATTTTTTTGTTGTAGTTGTCATTGTTGTTTGGGATGCCCGGGCTAGGTTCGAACCTGCCAGCCCTGGTGTCTGTGGCCGGTGCCCTAGCTGCTGAGCTACAGGCGCCGAGCCCTTATTTAATTTTTTTGAGATAAGGTCTCTCTCTTTTGCCTGGGCTGGAGTTCAGTGACATCATTATAGCGCACAGTAACCTCAACATCAAGCTCAAGTGATCCTCCTGCTTCAGACTCCTGAGTAGCTAGGACTACAGGCATGCACCACCATGCCTAGCTAATTTTTTCTATTGTTTGTAGAGATAAGGTCTTGCTCTTGCTCAAGTTGGTCTTGAACTCCTGACCTCAAGCAATTCCACAGTGTCAGTTCCCCAGAGTGCTAGAATTATGGGCATGAGCTGGGCTATTTAGTTATTTATTGAACTGATTTGATTAACAAGATCACATTTAATTGAAACTGGGATTGTTGGAGCAAGTGAGGAACACACACTGTGTTAAGCATATCACAATGGAATTCTATGTCATGAAGTATGTACAAAAAGTTCAGAAAAAGAAATATAGCTACTGGCTTGGATTATAATTTAGTTTATATTGAGGGAATCTTTGGGGGGAAGATACAATTGCCATAAGTATGGAATTCCTTCCCTGTCTAGGTGGTGTTTACTAGTGATCCTCATAAAAGCTACCTCCCTGTGCAATTCCAGTCCCCCAGTAAAGCAGAAACTCAGCGCGGAGACCCATCTGTTATTTCAGTAAGTACCATTTGGTGGTGTTTCACTCTGTTCTGCCTGCTATAACAAAATGCTATACTAGGTAGCTTATAAAAAACAGAAATTTATTTCTCACAGTTCTGGAGACTGGACTGTCCCAAGGCCAAGGTGCTAGCAAATTCAGTGTCTGATGAGGGATGGTACCCATCCTAGTGGGATGGTACCCTCTTTCTATATTATGTAGTGGATGGGTTTCAAGGTCTCTTTTATAAGGGCACTAATCCTATTCATGAGAGCTCCACCCTCATGAATCTAATCACCTACCTAGGTTCTAATCACCTACCAGAGACCCTACCTCCTAATTCTGTCATCTTGGGGATCAAATGTCAACATGTAAATTTTGGGAGACATAAACACGCAGGTCATGGCAGGTATGTACACTGCTGTGGCTTCTTGCTTTTATTTTTCATTCTAGTGATGTGAATTATCTCTGGCAGTGTTCACTGGTTTGAAATCACATTTTGATTATTTGTGACAAGCAATACAATAGAGGTGTAAATACTTCCAAAAACTTCTATTGGTTTTTTTCTGTTTTTTTTTTGCAGGAATAAAAGTTTTAATGAAAAAGGGTTGATAAGCAATATGTTACATATTTCTTTCTTTAAATTATTTTTTATTAAATCATAACTTTGTACATTGATGCATTTATGGGGTTCAGGGTACTGCTTTGATATACAATGTGAAATGTTTACATTGAACTAAGTAATACATCTATCACAATTATACTCATTTCTTCATAGTTTTGAAATGTACCATTGCATCATACACATTAAGTGAGGTCCCCCCAAATACCCTCCCATATCCCCCCTCCCCTCCCCTCTCTCTCCTCTTCCCTTCTACTTTCTGGACTGTAGTTATGCCGTTTGTATGAGTGTGTAGGTGGTTATATATTGATTTTATAGTAGTATTGAGTACATTGGATACTTTTTTTCCCATTCTTGAGATACTTTACTAAGAAGAATATGTTCCAGTTCCATCCAGGTAAACATAAAAGATGTGAAGTCTCCATCTTTCTTTATGGCTGCATAGTATTCCATGGTCTACATATACCACAGTTTGTTAATCCATTCATGGGTCTGTGGGCACTTGGGCTGTTTCCATGTCTTGGCAATTATGAATTGGGCTGCAATAAACATTCTGGTGCAAATGTCTTTGTTGTAAAAATAATTTTTGATCATCTGGGTATATACCTAGTAGAGGAATTGCAGGATCAAATGGTAGGTCTACCTTTAGTTCCTCCAGACTTCATTCCAAAAAGGTCGTATTAGCTTGCATTCCTACCAGCAGTGTAGAAGTGTTCCTTTCTCTCCACATCCACATCCATTGGTTTTTTTCAAATTGGTTTTTTTTCCCCTGAGTACATTTTGTTTAGTGATTACTGTGAGGCTGATACTAAAATTAGTTCACAGTACTTTTATCACTAAGCCATTACAAGTGACTCAGATTTCATTTCCATAAGAGAAAAGATATCTTTGGTTTAAAAATAGTTGCCATAGGCAATCAAGATACAGAAAACTGTAATTTGTTTTAAGATATGGGAAGTAAAGGTTTTTAGGGTTTTAATCTCTTTGGCCTTTTTTCTTTCTTTCTTTCTTTTTTTTTTTTTTTTTTTTTTGCATTATTTTGCTGGGGCTGGGTTTGAACCAACCACCTCCAGCATATGGGGCTGGCACCCTACTCCTTTGAGCCATAGGCCTTTTATTTTAAGTTTGCCTCTCCCTTATTTTTTTAGATGAGGAAAGTGAATATGCAAAAATTAGTTGTCTTTTAGTAGGTTCATGGAAATATATGTGAATCTCAGTGTTAACACTGGAATTAGGCCTAAAGCCAAGTTAGTTAGCCACTGGGAACAGGTTATATCAGATGACCTGTCCAAAACACTGTTAATATGGGTGCCATCATAGGAAGAGCTCTTTGAGCACAGGTGTGTAGCCTTGTGACTAATACACAGCCAGGGCCTGTGCCCAGGCTCACATGGTCTCTTTCAGAGCTTAGTTTTTTTCCACTGGTGGATAACGTACTCGTAAATCCAAATATATGTGGACAAAATGAAATTTAACTTTTTCCCTTTTTATCATAGTAAAATATATACAACATAAAATTTGCCATTTTAACCATTCATAGAGTGATATGAAGTCCATTCATATTGTTGTATAACCAGGACCATGCAGCTCTAGAATTTTTTTTACTCTGAGTTAAGAGTATCTCTACTTAAATATCACTAAAAGATTTCTCAAGTCTGTATACCTGTCTTTCTCTGTTAGTAGTTCTGCTCCTTGTAATAAGCTCATGATGCAATTTTATTGGCATGAAATTTCTTGGCCACAGCATTGAAATGTAGTCAGATATAGGAGGAACCTAATCTCAGCCTGCTAGTCTGGTGTCTGGTGGGAGTTGTATGAGAGAAGCAGGTGGGTGCTGAATCTCACTGTTCTGATAATTCACCAGATGATTGATTGATTAGATGGATGGACAGATAGATAGATTTACCAAGAAAAAAAAATTTAGGCAGGCTATGTACACACCATGATCTGAAGACATTGTGTGACTCCATTGTGGCCTATGGGGTCCCTAGGATCCTAGAAAATTCTTAGAAGGCTGTGTTTGGTCATTTGTGGAGGGTGCCAAATATATACAAATTTTAAGAAAGGAAAAAACTGTATTAAAATTATAATACTCAGTATAGACCAATAACAGAAGATGAATACAAGTCACATTTGACTTCTGCAGTTACAAGAGGTGCTCCAAGCAGTTACTATTAGCGTCCAGACACTTCCGATTATGGTGACTACTACTTGAGCAATGTTAACCAAAAGTGTCCACTCGTGTCACCGTGCATGCCATTTCACAGTACCATGTGTCTCAAACGAATGTGTGTACTTGTTAGGCACGTTGGAGGTTCTGTCACATACTCATACCTCCATTGTCATTGAACTTCCACAATGTTTTTGAATTTTCAATATCACTTCAAAATGGTCTTGCGCTCTTCCAATGAACCATGTTTCTGTCATTTTCTTTCACGGTCCTGCTTGTCCCATGATGACACCAGCATTCACTTGATTATGAGCAAATATCACACTGCACATTTCTGCTGTAATTTAATTCAACTTCAAAATGTAATACATAGCTAATATCTCTTAAGGTGTGTAAACATTTTTTTGATACCCCCAGTATATCTCCAATACTTTTCAGTGTATATTACTTGAAAATTCTTTCCTAATACCTGGCATTGTTTTAGTGTTGTTGTTGTTGTTTTTGAGACAGAGTCTCACTGTGTTGCCCTGGGTAGAGTGCTGTGGCATCACAGCTCACAGCAACCTCCAACTCTTGGGCTTAAGCAATTCTCTTGCTGCAGCCTCCCACATAGCTGGGACTACAGGCACCCGCCACAACTCCAGGCTATTTTTTGGTTGCAATAGTCAATGTTGTTTAGCTGGCCTGAGCCAGGCTCGAACCCCACCAGCCTCGGTGTGGTGGCTGGCGCCAAAACCACTGTGCTATAGGCACCGAGCCTATTTTAGTGTTTTTAAAATTTGTTTTCTTTTTTGTTTTCGAGATGGGGTCTTGCTATGTTGTAATGTTGCCCAAGCTGTTCTTGAAATCCTAGGCCCAAGCCATCCTTCCAAGTAGCTGTTACGACAGGTGCATGCCATCATACCAGACTTCGCTTTAATATTTCCTGAACGTTTTCTGTTTTCTTTGAGTCACAGGTCTGGGGGAGTATTTTTCATAAGGACAGTTTGTGTTCCCAGTCTTTTCATATATAAAAATTACCTCAAGCACTTCCAGAGCAATTCACTGGATTAACATAATTTAAACATAGCTTAAAGGCTATTCTGAATTCCAGTGAGATTAGTAGTGATGAGAAGTAAAATTTAAATATCATAATTTCCCCAAGCAAGGGCAGGTGTAGGGGTGAGAACATTTTTCCTTTGTTAACCTTAAGCATAGTTTATAATTTCACACCTTATAAACAGAAACAGTGCCTGTGGGTTTAATTAATGTTTATTTCTCGTCAGTTTTTTTCCCCCTTTTTGGCTGCAGAATTAATGATATTTGGAAATGTCTGGAGTTCATTTTTCATGAAAAAGTCAGAACCCATTAGTTTGAAGAGGATCACTATGAAAGTTCAGCTCACGATAATTGTGAAACCGAATACAGTGTACCTTGTAGCTTAAATCCCAGAAAAATGACTGGAGATGTTCTAGAAATAGTGATGACAGCAGGAGACATTCTTGTATTTCAGGTCAATGGCACCGACTTCCCCTTCCGGAGTGCAGGTGTCCTCGTCCTGGTTGTGGATGCATGCAGCGTTCCATTCCGGTTGACAGAGAAAAAGTTTTTCCCTCTCGTTGATGTCAGTCTCTTGGAAGAGTATTTAAAAACAGGCATCCCTCCAAGGTAAGTCAGACTATGCTGTAACAGGGGCGAGCCACCTTGAAGATGGGGAGTGCTCCAGAGAAGGAACAATTGGTTTACTCGCAGCTTTGGTTTTTGTTTGGTTTTTTTGTTTGGTTTTGTTTTTTGAGACAGATTCTCACTCTGTTGCCCAGGCTAGAGTGCTCTGGCGTCATAGCTCACAGCAACCTCACATTCCTGGGTTCAAGTGATCCTCCTGTCTCCATCTCTTGAGTAGGTGGGAATAATGACACCCATCACAATGCCCAGCTAGTTTTTCTATGTTTAATAGAGATGGGTCTTGCTCTTGCTTGGGTTGGTCTCGAACTCCTGAGCTCAAGGCATCTTCCCCCCTCAGCTTCCCAGAGCGCTGGGATTTCAGGTATGAGCCACTGTGCCTGGCCTGAGCCTGGGTTTCTATTTTGTTTACCCAGCATTTTACTCTGTGGGCCTCAGGGCTGTTTGAAAGGCCTTTCATTCCTTGCCTACCTCAGACTGACGCCTGCATCTACGTTGCTCATCATTGACCAGCTATTGCTGATCCGTGGCAGAATTTGTATATTAGAAGAATTTACAAATGGTAGAAAGCCTCTTAGAAGGTGAAAAGCTCATTGTGTGGAACATTACGATCCCGCTTTTTAGTATTAAGTTGGTCAACATTGTACGCAACTTGCTCCGAAGGCTTGTTTTCCATTGTGAAGTACTTTTCCAGGCCGTTCACCTTTGTAGCCACCTGCCCCACCAATGGACTTTCAGGCAGCATTGTACTATGACTGTGATATAGGAAGTCATCAGCTGGGTCATTTGGAAATGGCTAGAAAAGAGTAAAGTGATTTTTAAGTGGTTGAGTGGTCTCTCTTTTAAGCATGCTAGTCTATGTTGGTCTCTGAAGAAAGATGTACAGGAGGGAAACCTTTCTTTGGGGGGCTGGTCAGACTCTCCTTCCAGGCTCCAGAGATGAATTCAAGATCCCTTTTGTCCCTTCACTTTGCTCCTGACTCATACACAGGCCTTCGTTTAGTGAAGCCATTAGGGAAGAAATAAGCTTCTCAGAAATTAAAAACCTGTCGCACTTTAGAATAATTTTCTGGGCTCGGCGCCTATAGCTCACCCGGCTAAGGCGCCAGCCACATACACCTAAGGTGGCAGGTTCAAATCCCCAGCCCGGACCCGCCAAACAACAATGACGGCTGCAACCAAAAAATAGCCGGGCGCTGTGGCGGGCGCCTGTGGTCCCAGCTACTTGGGAGGCGGAGGCAGGAGACTCGCTTGAGCCCAGGAGTTGGAGGTTGCTGTGAGCTGTAATGCCATGGCACTCTACCCAGGGGTACAGCTTGAGGCTCTGTCTCAAAAAAAAAAAAAAAAAAAAAAAAGAATAATTTTCTGATCACTTACATTCCTTATAGATTACAGAGCCAGATCTTAGTAAGTCCCGTGAAATCAGTAGATTATTTGGGTATAAGATTCAATATGTATGTATAGTTCTATCTTCTGGTTTAAGACACTTATGGGGCCTCAGTGTTCTTTGAGGATTTAAAGATTTTTTTTTCTTAATGTTGAAAACTTATGCATTTACCCACTTCCCCTAAAAGGATCCAGGACATACATCTCACCACAAGTAGTTAGGACAATGTGGTGGTTCTGCAAAGTACCTTATAGATTTAAGAGTTAAAACCCACTCATTAAAAAGTCATGAGGTGGTTTCTAGAAAGGAGACGCAAGAAAGGCTTTGGAGAAACTAGTCGTGTTATTTCTAGATGTTGGTTACACAAAGATGTTTGTTTGAAAAAATAGAATGTGCAAAAATTTCAACTGTGCATGTTGTGTTTTAATAAGGTGTTAAGAAGTTAAGGGGCAACTGGCAGTGACTTCTAGGGAGATTGAGCACATGTATATGTGGAGGGGCTGGGTGGGGTGAGTGATCTCATGGGTAATTATGACCTAGGGAAGAAGATACGGTCTGCAGGATGGCTGTGGTCAGTCTTCTGCACTGACTTTGAATTAAGTCACCCATGCTTTACAAAGACCACAACAAGGAACCCACACCAATGTATTACTAAGACTCTTTACTATAAGAAATGTCAAGACCCACATTAAGGAAACAAATACATTACTGAAGGATATGCAATAAGAGTGAAATAAAAGGAAAGATTTTTTCTGTTTCTGGATGGAAAAACTGATATTGTAAAGATAGTACTCTACCTAAATTATGAGTTTAACACATTTCCATTAACCCATCACCAATAGGTTACTTTTTTGCTGTACTTGACAGTTGATATTGAAGTTTACCTGGAAGAATAAATGTGAGAGCGTAGTAAAATGTTTTTTTTTTTTTTTAAATCACAATAATATATATATAAGAAGCTTGTTTTTGGCTAGGTGTGGCTCATGCCTGTAATCCTAGCATGATTACAGGCCAAGGTGGGAGGATTGCTTGAGTTCACAGGTTTGAGACCAGCCTGGGCAATAGCAAGACCCTGTCTCTAAAAACTAGCCAGGCATTGTGGTGGGTCCTTGTATCCCCAGCCACTTGGGAGGCTGAAGCAAGAGGATCACTTGAGCCCGAGAGTTTGAGGTTGTTTTGTGCTGTGATGCCACAACACTCTACCAAGGGCAACATAGTGAGACTCTGTCTCAAAAAAAAAAGAGGCTTGTTTTATCAGATATTAAAATAAACCATGAAGCTGTAGTAATTAAGCCAGCATAGTCTTAGCAGAAGAGAGAGAGATCAGAGAAAGGGAATAGAGAATCCACAAGCAGATCCGAATGTGTGTTGATTGACTGCATGATAAAGATGACAGTTTAAACCAAACCATGGAGAACAGATTTTGTTTTATTTTTCTTAAGAGTTGTGTTTATTCATATATTTAATAAATAGATAATAGAACATAAATAGATAAATAGAGCATCTGAAACAAACAAAAAATTATCTAATGTTTATAATAGACTGCTCCCCAAAAGAGCAGTGCCCCAAGCTGTCTACTGGTAAGCTTACCCAAAGGACTTCTGGTCTCCCTATGTGTTACCCCTTGTGATAGCAACATGAGAAGTTCCTTGTGGGGCAGAAGAATGGGACCTTATAATAGCAGCGATGAAAAGCATCTGGGTTTTTTCCTGAGTTCCGCTTTTATCTAGTGTTTCTATTCAGTATTCAGTTCAGAAAGGTATTTAATACATATATGCTGAATGATTGAAATTGGCATTGACTTTCTTAACTCTTCCATACAGGTCAGCTGTTTTGTTGAGCACAAGAGGAGAAATAAAACAGTCAAACATTTCAGACTCATTAGTACCTCTGGGATTAGCCAAACCGGCTCATCTTCATAACAAAGGTTTGTAACATGTTATTAGTCTATGAGGTTCTTTAGGGGGCCGGCCACATAGGCCTTTTTATGGTGGAATTTAGCTACCAGACCATTTTCCTAGGCGTGTTTTGCTATAGTGGGTATTATTAAGACAATTTCTAAATAAGGGATGGCGTTAGAGGAAGTGTGTCAGGGTGTGGCATATTATTTGGGGTAAGAGGTGGGTGGATAAAAGTTCACTTGCTGATGTTAAGAAGTTTAAGGGTTTTGGCTTGGCGCCCATAGCTCAGTGAGTAGGGCGCTGGCCACATACACCGAGGCTGGCAGGTTTGAACCTGGCCTGGGCCTGCTAAAATCAACAATGACAACTACAACGACAACAAAAAAAAGCTGGGCGTTGTGGCAGGCACCTGTAGTCTCACTACTTGGGAGGCTGAGGCAAGAGAATCGCTTGAGCCCAAGAGTTGGAGGTTGCTGGGAGCTGTGATGCCACAGCACTCTACCGAGGGCGACATAGGAAGACTCTGTCTCAAAAACGACACAAAACAAAGACAAGTATAGGTTTTTTTAAATAGCTGCCTTTGTTTTGCTCACCTCCTGCCTTATTTTTTTATTCTTCTCTTAGGGAGTACCATATTCGTGGGATTCAGCGGAACCTTTAAACCATCATGGACTAAGCTATTTACCAGTCCTGCTGGACAGGGCCTTGGGGTGCTTGAACTGTTCATACCTTTGCAGCTGGATGAATATGGGTGTCCCAGAGCCGGCACTGTTCGCAGAAGAGACCTGGAATTGTTGAAACTAGCTTCAAAAGCACATTAGAGACTAACTGTAACTTAAGTGCTGGGAAGATAAAAAAATGTGAACTAACTTATTTAATTTATGGCATTTTAAAATGACACTGTTAACCCAATGGAACCATTTTCCTGTTTGATACAGAAAGGGGAGAAAAGAGTAGAGAGTCCTTGCTTGAATACCAGCTCATGCACCTTCTAGTTGTACAAAATGTCGGAGAGATTATTTGTGTCTGTAAGGCTGGCCTGTTCAGAGAGCAGTTCTCTCAGGCCTCCCCTTCCACCTCAGTGTTTTGTAATGACCACACGTAGTGTTTTACTTGTTGTATAGTGGTGGGGGTTGGGGGGGTCTCTGAGAGTCGGCCTGAAGTCTTAGCGGACCTGCTATTGTAGCACCTTGGATACTTGAAGTCTAATGCTCAGTTGTGTCGGGCAGCAGTTGACTTGGTGGCTGGCAAGTTCAGCGACACCTGGGGCCCTGTTTCTGGGCAGCCTTTGAGGATTTTCTATGATAATGAATGATAAAGTTTTAAGTGGCAACTCAGGCCCAGCTCATGCCCTTTTTTGCCTGGACATGTGCTATTTCTACCATTTATATATTGATTACTTCTAAGGGTTCAACTTTGAGATGGGAAATTTGTTGGGGCAAAAGTGCTCATAGGGATTAGAAATCTCTTTACTCCGTGACCATTGGGCAAAAAATTGACCTGTACCAAAGGTCTGGGGTTGTGGGCACCACTTTTGCAGCTTTAATCCTTAGCCTGTTTTGACTGTATATTTGTGTTTAAAATGCAGAGCTGAGGTGAATATTGACTCTTTTTTTTTTTTTTTTTTTTTTAAGAAGCAGGCCCTTTTCCTGAACTATAAACTTGTGTTGTTGAACCTTGCACAAAGGAAGTCTGTTCTTGGTGTTGCTCTTGCACCTGGGCTTTTGTTATCGTTTTTCATGTGTGGATATTTTCTTAAGCTTTTCTGTTAACCATCCTGCCAGGAGAATCCCAGAAAGCTTAATGATACTTCAAAATGATTGTACCCAGGCAGGGACGAAAGGAGAGCCTTCCAAGGGCCAGAACCATTGAGGTTCAAAAATGAACCTCTTTATAGCCTTAAAGGAGTGAGTGAATCACTCTTAATGAAATTGTTCAAGCTAATTAAAAAGGTGCCGTGCTGCCCAATTTCCCTTTCCTCTGGGTGCGTGTGTCTCCTACCAGTGCAAATTGCTTGTGGCCAAAGGACATCGCCTCCATCCCCTGGAATGCTGCCACGCGAAGAGGAAAGAAGCATCAAAATACCTTCATGTTTTTCTAAACCCACAATCTGTAAAGTGTGGTGGAGGGACGGCCTATGGGAGGTGACAAGGGGCGTTTGGGCTGGCATCGGCAGTGAGTGTGGACAAATTCACTTTGCTCTACCAAGGGCAGAGGCTGATACGGCCTGTACCGTTGTGTCCAGGAGAAACTGCAGAGTAGCTCTGTGTTTTCTTCTACCTTACAAATATGCTACCTCAAAGTGCTACCGATAAACCTTCCTGACTGTAAGTGCTCTTGCTGAGGGCACGTGTCTTAATCAAAATTGGGGTTTTTGTTTTGGGGTTTTTTTTTTTTTTTTGCGTGTGTATATTGATGAATGAGATCTTACCTATTAAATATTTTATTGGATCATGGTTCCTGAAGGTGATGAAAGTTTGTGTGTGTGTTTTATGACTTAAATATCTTTTATGTGTGTTTTTTAGAGTTTGATTCTTTAAAGATTTGGAGAGGCTGTATAAGTTGCCAAGGCGCTCGGGGTGTTCCTGTTTTATATACTAATAATCAGGGCCTAAGTTAAATAAATAAAACTATGAGTGCATGTATTTCATATACGTGTGTATGTGCATTTGTATCTCTATAAATTTTTGAATTCCAGGTTCCAGCTATAAATATTCATTCACTAGGACGGAATGCACTTAGTTCATTGACATTATTGGCAGAATTAAGGAAGGGAAACGGTCCACCACGTAGATTTTGTAAGGTAAAGCTACAAAAGAGCAGGGACCATATTCTCCAATGCAAAGGTTCTTGACCTTGACTGCAGAGTGGAATCACCTGGGAGCTTTAAACAATACAGAGGCCTGGACCCCACCCCCTTCTCCTCAGATTTGGATTTAATTGGTATGGGGTGCAGCCTGGGCATTGGAATTTTTTTTTGAAGCTCCCCGGGTGATTCTAACATGCCGCCAGGTTTCAGAACCACAGCACTAGTATAATAGGCCCACTGTTTACCTTCAGTCTATAATTTTTTGTGACTAAAACAAACTTGCATTTATTTTTATTTGAGATCTTTGTATTACTCATACAACTCCCAGCCCTAAACAAAATATTTTACTATTGTCTCTTTTTTAGTAGATTTTTTTTTTTTTAGAGACAGAGTCTCACTTTATTGCCTTCCATAGAGTGCTATGGTGTCACAGCTCACAGCAACCTCCAACTCCTGGGCTTAGGCGATTCTTTTGCCTCAGCCTCCTGAGTGGCTGGGACTACAGGTGCCCGCCAGAACACCTGGCTATTTTTTTGTTGCAGTTTGGCCGGGGCTGGGTTCGAACCTGTCACCCTCGGTATATGGGGCTGGCACCCAGCTCACTGAGCCACAGGTACTGCCCTTTAGTAGAATGTTTAAATACAGTTCTTAGTCATTAATCTTCTCAAATTTTCAAATGGGCCCTTTAAAAATACACACTTTAAATGAGTCCTTTAAGCTGATACACACTTTTCAGGCACTTGGGAGCTTGCAATCTGTTCTATTTCTACCAAGAAAATATATTCAAAGGTGATTTATAAGTTTGTAAGCATTTTCCATCAGGTGAGGCAATTGGTTGAGCTCCATAAATGTGGCCATCCACAAATCCGCCAGCTGATGAGAAACCCAGAAGGCTCTCCTATATGGCCAGACTGGGGGTTAAGTCTTTGCTGTGGGGCTCCTGCCTTCCCCACCTGAGTCAGCATGCCATATATTATCTCCAGAAGCTGGAAGACAGTGCTTGTGAGAAGATGAAAGGCAGACGCAGTCTCATGGACTGTGACTCCAAAGCAACCACTGAGCTGATGTCGGGGGGTGGGGGGGGGTGATGGACGGGGGTGGGGAGGTGGGGATTTATGACTCCTCTGTTCTCTGACTTCAACTGGAGAGAACTCATCCTCCTGCCACTAGGTGGGTTACTTTGTTTTGAGCAAGGGAGGGCAATGGGGTGACAGCTAGAGGCTTGAATGCTTCAGATAAGGACTGTAGGTTTTCATTCCTTCAGAGATGAGGTAATGTTTGCATGAGCCCAGTTGAAAGGCATTTCAACAGGAAGGAATGCACTTAGTTCAAGTATTCCTTTCTTTCAGTCATTCCCAGTAGGTGAGTTCAGTACATTGATCCCATCATGCAACATGTTTTTTTTAAATTTGGGGTTAGTATTTGAGTACCTATTATTAGGTTCCCTGGTTTGCCTTTGTAAGGTAAACATGACAATGTTTGTGATGTAGGGTTGGAGTTTGCCTGCTCCATTCTTGTTTGGCTTTCAGGTACTTATTAAACCATGTTTAACAACTTGAGAAATTTCCCTGGAGATGAAGACCTGTGATGGGTCACAGGTTTGTATTATTACTCTTGTTGGTCTTACTTGGTTATAAACCAATCTGCTAGAAATGGGAGCCGCCACGCTGGGCCGGAGCTAATTGTCAACAAAAGGTCAGGGAGGGAAAAAAAAAGAAAAATCAAGCGCAGTCATTCCCACTTACTTGCTCACAAATGACAAAATGCTGTTCCATTCTTGCTGGACCATTTGAGTCATTTGGATGCAGGACGGTTTTTTACCCTTATTTACAATATAAGAAGCAGATAAAAGGGCGTTTTATTAGGTCCTGGTGTTGTAGATAAGGGCACACACACTTTTTATGTAGTAAAATTCAATCATGACTGCTTGAACTGTGATTTCTAAATGAGGAACTGGGCCCCACAGGCATCCCAAAGTATCAGCCATAGCAAGCTGTGACCTGTTAATATCTGAAAATACAACAAAGGGTGGGACAGAAAATATCTTCCCAGATGGGTTTTTGTAATTTTTCTAAGAAGCACAAAATGAGTCGTCTCACTATGAAAAGCAGTAAGTTTAAAGTTCATCCTCAGAAAGTTTTGGCTTCATGGTGACGACTGATTAAACCAGGTTGGCAAACTATGACCTATAGACCCTCTGCCTGCCATTGTGAGCAAAGAATAGTTATTGTGTTTTTAGACAGAACATGGTGGGAGAAGTTAAAAGAAGAAAAGTTTTATGAGGTGAAAGTTCTATGAAATTTAAATTTCAGTGTCCATAAATGAAATCTTGTTGGAACACAGCCAAGCTCATTCACGTAGACGTATTAGCTATGGGTGCTTTGCTGTTGCCGTGACAGAGCCGGGGAGTTAACAGAGACTCTCAGGCCCACAACACTGAAATCCTTAGTTACCACAGAGACTCTCAGGACCACAACATTGAAATCGTTACTATTAGACTTTTACTGAAAAAGTTTACCAACCCTTGATTTTGGTGAAGGATATACCAGTGTTCATTGTCTTATTTTTAGAACTTCCCTACATTTTGAGAATTTTTTTTTTTTTCAGTATTTGGCTTGGGCTGGGTTTGAATCTGCCGCCTCCGGTATATGGGGCTGGCGCCCTACTCCTTTAAGCCACAGGTGCCACCCCATTTTGAGCATTTTTAATACAGCAAGTTATTTGCATGAGAATCACCTGAGGTGCTTGGTGGACATGGAGAAGCCTGTGCCCCAGCTCATGCGAGAATTGGGATCGCTGGGAATTGAAGCTGAGACTATTTCTGCAGCCTCTCCAGGTGTGTCCTATGAATGCTAAAATCTGAAAACCCCTAAAGTGCGTTTTCCCTCTCCCTTCAACAGAGAACACATCACAACAAATTCAAAGTATTGTGTTTTTTTAACCCTGATAATTCCAGCTACATCATTGTCCCTAGAACTTAAAAACAATGTAGATCCGATTTAATGCTTAGTGGAGTATGTGGCTGTCACTGAGACAGAGGATTGGAACGCAAGATTAAGTTACCCCTCTACAATATCTAAAATGTTCCTTACAGTGATTCCTTTGGCTACAGTTATTCCTAGTCTAAAATTCCAGCCAACCTCTGTTTTCTACAAGTTCTTTTATTATTTTAAGGACTTTAAAGGAAAATGTGCCCTCGGTCACAATTAGGCTGCACAGACTAACAAAAACATAGGTTTCTTTGCTTTTTGATGAAACTGTATCCACTCTAGTCATTTCACATTCATCGAAGCTCTGATTGGTAATTGTAGATGTATATTTCTTAAGAGGTAGAATAAATTATTTCATACAACTTGTTTGCCTTGTAAACAAAAGACTTTTAATACATAAACTTCATGGAGGATTGAAGGGGGTTGAATGGACCTGGGGGTTAATGACATTGGTCCTTGCTAGGGAAGAGAGAGCAAAGAAGCTCACCTTCTTCCATCAGCCCATATTGGTCACCAGCACCCAGTTTCTGAGGGAGGAAGGCCTAGGTTGGATAGGTTTCTAATGGGAACGAATGTAGGATTTATAAGTTTCAGGAGGCAAGGAGCAACATTAGCTCCCAATATGAGTGGGAAGAGGTGGGATTTCTAATGGAAAGACCAAACTTGCTTCTTTCAAAAGTATGCTGGTGCTCTGTTTTCTAAGGAAAATAGTTCTTAGTGAGCCATTAGTGGGTTGGGGTCAGGAAGAAGCACATGTTAGTGTTGTAGGCATGGTGGATGTTTTGGTGACCAACCTAGTTTCATTCCAGCTTAAGCTTTATACTAGTGGGTTTACTTGGAGTGGCTCCCTACCCCTTTTGATCCTCAGTTTTCTCATCTGTAAAATGGGATTGTAATAGTTCTGTGAAATTATAGGAGAGATTAAATGAGAACAGCCATGACTCCCAAACTCAGCCAGTCATCAGAAACACTGATGGCTTATTAAAAAAAAAACAAAACAAAACAGGTTTCCTGATGTGTGAATTCAATTTTAGTACTTTTGGGATTTTTTTGTAGTTTGCTTTTTAATTTTTTTTTTTTTTTTGGAGACAGAGTCTTACTTTGTCACCCTTGGTAGAGTGCAATGGTGTCACAGCTCACAGCAACCTTAGACTCTTGGGCTCAAGTGATCCTCTAGCCTCAGCCTCCCAAGTAGCTGGGACTACAGGTGCCCACCACAACACCCTTCTATTTTTAGAGATGAGCTCTCGCTCTGGCTCAGACAGGTCTCGAACTCATGACCTCAGGTGATCCATCAGCCCTGGCTTCCCACAGTGCTGGGATTACAGGTGTGAGCTCCGGCACCCAACTCTCAAATTTAGTACTTTTCTGAAGGTTGAGGACTAGGGAATCTCTATTTTTTAAAATAAACTTCTGAGATAATGCTAGGTTTTGGAACCATTAAGAATACCTTATGCAACCCCCTTGCCCTGCTTTTAACACACTCTGGTACTCAGTTTTCTGTATCTAGAAAATAGGACCTCTGCATTTTCAGGAGGTTTGCATTTCTGCCTTCCATTGCACCAGCACCAAACACAGCAAACCAGCTGTGTGTGGACTAGAGCTAGGAAATGCAGGGAAAAAACCCTCTGAAAAGAAAACACATGGGCTCAACGCCTATAGCTCAACCGGCTAAGGCGCCAGCCACGTACACCTAAGTTGGCGGGTTCGAATCCCCAGCCCGGACCCGCCAAACAACAATGACAGCTGCAACCAAAAAATAGCTGGGCGTTGTGGTGGGTGCCTGTGGTCCCAGCTACTTGGGAGGCTGAGGCAGGAGACTCGCTTGAGCCTGGGAGTTGGAGGTTGCTG